CCGTTTTGTAATGCTACCTCTGTCACACAGTTGATTTGATAATACAACAGTCAACGGTTATCTGCTTCAGAGGAGCAGCCGTTGAAACTTATTTTCACAGAAGCATTTCATGCAATAAACAGACAGACTGAACATTTAAAAAACCATAACGGATCGTGTTAATCTGTCCAGTACTCGTTGTGCTAACAGACAGATGATGTCATCAGAATGAATCTCAATGCATAGCTTTTATATAACCACCCACTCGATGCCGAAATTTCAAAAATTACTTCAAACAATCCTCAGTGAAATTTGACAGAGGTGGTGGGACGGAGCACCTATGCCAAACGCCGCGGCTGGTTTTCGAATTTTTTCTTGTATTTCCTTTTTCCACCAGTCAAAAAGTACGTATATAAATAAAAAGATTTTAAAAGAAGAAAATACTCGTGTATAGAGCAAATGAAGAGTAAACTGAAAAGCTAGGAAGTACTGGACAGCTGTTTCGACCTGGTTGGGTGTCGGTAGCAATGCGAATCCGTCGACTGAACTGGAATTCGAACCCATCCACTAAACAGATTCTCATTAAATGAGATGCTCCTGATGCACATCCAGAAAGAGGGTCGATCAAAATTAGAAAGACACCTGAAAGGTAACCGAATCAAACAATTTATGTGATGGAAGACGGTGATGTGTGCTATGTAGCTCAAGCCCGTGGTGCGAGATGACCTGATCATAGCGCAGCAGTAATTCATCTGGAGTGATGATGTGGACCTGCACTAGGAAACGATCAGCTAAATTATACATTTAAGTTTAGACAGTAATGAAACCACTCCGCACCTTGTTGATGCTTATAACACCGTAAACGTCACCAAAGCATTCCGACCTTCGTACAGAGTTAGAACGGGACGGTTTAGACACGTACGTTCCCGTATCCTAGATACAGCGGAGGTGGTCAGCATCCATCGTTGCGACCCTCGTTGTATGCTCAAAAGCAAATTTTGCAAGCACTCAAGCTGCTTTGGCCCGATCGTTGACAAGCGACACGTCATGTAACATCCAAACGAAAGATAATCGACTCCTAACGAATTTAGGTAACCCATATGTTAATTAGAGAACAACTTTAAACTGTTAAACATCCTAATTGCTTTTTTCCGTAAATCCCTATTAGTAACCAGTCATAAATATTGTTGTAATGTCATGAGTAAGATGCGTAAGTCAGCACAGTACACTAGAGGCTGATTTTGGTGACCATCGATTCTGAAGATATCCGAGTATGGCCCGTGTAGTCTTTGCAAGACGACAGAGGTGATTTTTTTGCCAACTTTGAGTTTTCATCATGTGTTCTGTAGCACTGCTTAAAACTGTAAAATCGCTTCTTTTAGAATTATCCATCCATTTATATCGTAGGCAATTTTACAGAACAGGATTCATCAACCCAAAGTATCGATTGTAGAATTCTCGGAATATATCACAAGGTAGAAAACATTTCCATATAACCGCTTACCACTACTCCTCGTGACCCCTAATTCTATTGTGCTCTCCCTATTAAATGTAACTCCTTCCTGTCATGAAGATTCTGCAATATGTGCATTATACTTGGTCTCTATTCCAAAACGCTGCTTTTGCAAAACCATTGCTTTTCACTATTAGGTTAGCCGTCAGTTAAAAACCTAACTTTTAGCAGTTAAACATAATTCGGCTTTTACTTCAAGCCATCCATCGGGTAAGATGTGTAATGGTTTTGTCATTTGATATCTGACTTAGAGGAAGTGCGTTTTTGAAACAGCAGATGACAAAATATATCATCCCCGGAAAACGCTACCAATAATTCAAAAATATATAAATGACTCTTAATTACGGTTAGCGAAGTTCTGGTCTTTCTAGTGATAAAAGATACAACTGTTGGAAGGTATCGACCGACTAGGTTTGCATGCGGCGGAAGTGGGGTGTGGATGCATCGATCAAAACTTCCTCCTCCGACAGCTGTTAGAGAACCGTCATGCCCATCCAAGACCGATGCGCATTGTATTCTTGGACATCAACACTGTCGACAGGATCGTATTATGGAATTGTCTGTTAATAAACGGAGTACCTGAGACGTGTGTCGATCCTCAAACAGTTGTATCGTCATACCTCAGGTCGGCTTTCACCACTCTGCCGTCCCCAGTGGAGTTCAACAAGGCTACCTTACATCCCCATTCCTCTTCAAATTGTCACAGATGTTTTACAGAATGCTTTGTCCGATCTAGCAAATGATAGAGTAGAACTCCTCCCAGGAAACACAGTTCTTGAATTGCAATACGTTGGTGACATCGACTTGTTGGAGGAAAACACATCGGCACTCCAACACGCTTTAAATTGCTTGGCGACTGACGTATCCAGGTGTGTTGCCTGTTTTGCATCTTCCAAGTTCCAAGCGCTTTTTCAAGACTGGCGGAAGTCTGTGCCTGCATTCGCAGTTTGTGTTGATCAGC